CATAAGCAGCGAGTGTCTGACGGCGAAGAGGGGAGGGAACGCAGCCACAAACCTGCTTGCCAGCCCTACGGTTCCGAAGCGAGGGCACTGCCGAACCGTCCCCGGCGCTCCCAGCAGCACCAGCACCGCGCCCGGCCCGCCCGGCTGCGGGACACGGGCCGCGCTCTCAGCACGGAACGCGCATTTCCCCCCGCATCCCCGCGGAGGAACAACCGAACAGTGTTCTTGCTTGTCACCAGGACGTACAGCTTGGTTCACACACAACATACGGTTGACAATTCCCCCTTACGTGCTACGTGAGCTGTTTGTCGTGGCAGTGGTGATTTTTTTTATTGGAATGAAAGACTAAATTCAGGATAATGAGAGGTTCCTCTGTCTGCAGGAAATTGCTGGGAGATCCCACATTGTTTTCTGCTAAGTGGGGAATACTTTGATGATGCACTGATAGCATGTTAGAGCAGCGTAACATTCAGTATATTTGGACTGATTTCACCAGGAGCAGGCACAAGACCAAACTCCCACCCATGACATGCAAAGTGAAAAGCACACAAAGCACATTAAAGACCAAATAATATAGATATGATGAGGGATACAAAAATCCATCTGGAGCTCTCGGGTTTTTGAACTGCTGATGGTAGCTTTGCAAAACAAAACCCTCTGTGAAACTTCAGCCCATTTCTGAGTTCAGTGCAAGCAGGTATAAAGTGCAGGACATCTGCTACCCACTGAAGCTCAAGTCAGCCTTTCATCCTGATTTGTCACACCTAAAGGTAGGGCACTGCAAAGCTGTTCATTGGATACAAACTAAAAATTATGGATTTAATTTTAAGCTGTGAAAAATGGGATCTAGGGAACTAGATACCACAAACTTAAGGCAAACAAACACATCTTAATGTTTCACTGACAGAGCACTAAAATATTTAATAATGGAGTTCTAAGAGTAGAAGTTCTTGTTAGGATTTTTTTCAGATAAACAAGTCTGGGCTTAAGCCCAGAGAAAAAGGAATCTATTCAAACTGTAGCAAAAGGCTGGCCTTTGTAAATGGGAGTTCATATTGGTTTTCAACAACAGGAAGTGACAAACAGATTTCTTTCTTAGTGCAAGGGGAAAGCCATTAAAAAAAAATAGCTCTGACTCACAGGTGTCTATTTTGACAGTTGCCATTAAGACCCTAATAAAAAATATACAATACACGGGGTCAATCAGGATTTCCATTATATGTTTTTATTCCCTATATTTGCAGTAGTTTGATGCCAGACTTTTTTTTGGATGCAAACAGATTAACTGCAGATCAGTAAATGCCCGAGATAATATTCATTTTTAAAAAGCTATTTATTTTTGCATAGTTGTTGAAATAAAGCGATGCAGTCATTCCACAATGGTTCACCACCATCTTGAGGTAATTTAGAACTCCAAACATTTTCAAATAGGAGGTGCAGCAACCAGTTAATGAGAACATTACACCTTACATCAGAGGACAATTTGTCCAAATACTGCTTGCAGGGAACAGAATGAACCGTGGATAATGCACTGTGAGCTGCTAATCTAGCAGGTTACAAGCTTTTTATCCTTGTATTTTATTACTAGGTAATCAGCAGTCTATCTTGGATGCCTGCCTTTGCTTCCATGTTTCCCCACAGTGAGCACAACCACACCACACCAGTTTCTCCATGGGCAGATGGCAAATACATGGTCCGTCAGCTGCTGTCAAACAGGATCTTGCATCTAAGGGTGCTAAAAGATGCTATACAACTTCTAGTGTTTCTTACAGCAACACCATTATTAAATACTTTGCTAAAGCACAGAAATACTTTTATGCAATTATTTATATATACTTCTATATACATAATTCATTTATACTTTATATAGTCATTTTAAAGAATGCAACCTCATGCAGCCAGTAATGGTCATTCTTGGCTGGTATAATTCCTTTGACTGTGGTGGAAAGATCTCAGCATTAAAGTGCAACAGGCTTTACTTGGCTTCACCTTTCACAGTGGCTTCTCCGAATTAACCTCCATAAAGCTGAACACAGGATGCACAAAAGAATGCCAGTTACAAAGACATAATTGAGATAATTCATTCATAAAATGACTTAGAACCAGTGTAGTGGCATTTCTACATGCACATGGAACAGTAACTTTGCTTGAAAAGCAGCAGCTACAGCAGATGCTACTGTAGGTTCCTGTTTCAAAACCTGGTCTGTAGGGTGTAGGGCTGCAAGGGAGACAGCACCAGTGAAGGAAGTTTGATGATACAGAGAGCTTCACTGTTGGCTTTGGGATGTGAAGTTATACAGAACAACAACTGGTGATCTAGTTATGGTGATTAAATTTATTTTTAATAAATTAGGCAGTTGGGTCCCAATTTGTACAGTTCTATCAAATTATTTGAAACTGTTATAAAGAACTTTTATAGTGAGGAACAGGAAAAGAAGAATCTATTTTGATTTATTTACAGGTCATCTAGAAATGCCTCTACCAACTACAACAGGATGGAGAGAGTGGCCTTGCCTTTTGAAGAATTTACAAACTTGAGTTTTCAATAATTTCTCTGAGTCTCTCTTAAAGAACCGTAGGGTTTAATTAGAACCATGCAGCAGAAAAGGAGTATTTAAATTCAACAGCCACAATTTCAGGCACATCTGCTGCTCAGGATCTGATTAGCTTACTCATGGCAATTAAGGGTTTGCTCGAGGATAAAGATGATGATAAAGATCCACATTCAAGTCTTCTCTGATTACGGGGAAAGGGAAGGCAAAATGGAAACTGTTATAATCACAAACCAAGAAACTGATTAATATCTTTATGTAAAGTGCTGTCTAGATTTTTCCATGATCAATTTGAAAGCTGGACAGCCAGTCAGAATTTACAGCACCTGTAATTTCCAGGTATTCTGGGCACAAATAAAAGAGATGTAATTGAATAAAAGACCTTACAAAGTAAAATAAATAAATGACTGTGTGAGTAATTCAATATTGTTCTTAAAAAGACATAAATTGGAGGATGTGCTGCCTAAAAAAGATGGAAGCATACGGGGTGCTGCTGTTTCATCTACAGCAGATCAATCCTTGGTTAAGTGATTGGGAAAAGTTTAGGAATTTTGAAAGAAACCCATGAAAAAGGCTGTTTCCATTTCAACATTTTTAGAAAAACAGAAAGGACCCCAAACCTGGAAAACAAAATGTTGTAAATCCAATAAATGTTCAATGGTTCAATTATTACTCACATTTCAAGTGCTAAAAAAAAATAGAAAAAAATAATTTGTCACCAAAAATTAAGTATGAGGTAGAGGCATCATTTCAGAAGAATACTATCCAATTCCTTATTTTCAAAAGAATTTACATCCCACTTTTCCAAAGGATTAACAGACTCTGCATCTCAAATGCTAATCTTACATCTCATACGTCAGATCACAGAAGGTTCTCTCTTATATCAAACTTATTTCTTTAAATTTCAAATGTCTTCCCATAACAATAAGCTTTAAAAATGAAGTGTACATCAACACAGCTTCAATTTATATATACATAAAAATTTATTGTCATAATTGCAAGGATCTATTGAACCCAACCTTCATAGCTGTTCCTGAAAATGCACAGCAATTAATAATTACCATAAAAATTCAGGAAAATATTCCAGTTATTTAGAACAGTTACTCTTTTGTTTTTTTCCCCCCACTTAAATATCTACAATGCCTGCATTCACTGCAGTGCTGAAGTTGATGAAAGGGGAACCTTTTAAATAGTAACCCTTAAAATGTTGCTCCATTCCATTTAAAAATAATGAGACAAATGAAATTTTAACATATGGTTCACTGTCACATACTCATGTAGGGGGAAACCAAAAGCTTCAGTTACAGAATTTTAAGTCACAGTTATCGTAACATTATCAAATCTTCTCTATTTCATGGCATGAATATAGAAAATTCAGTTGTTTTTTTTTAATACCAAAACTGTCCTATAGAAATTATAGAACTTTATCTTCCACCTTTATTAATCACAAATTTAAGAAAATGAACAGCTATTCATACAATATTGGATTGCAAAAGACTATGTGATATGCTAGACAGACATGAAGGAAGCTGAAAGAACTCATGCCTTAGTAATAAGCAACATGTTCTATCTGTACTGAAGAGCACGAGAGGTTTGCTGGGGGCTGAACTCCACGGGCTGGAGGACTGACACTCTCCCTTCTGATGCAGAGCAGGTTATTCACAAATTCTCTCTGCTTAGTCCCAATTCCCCATCTACATTTGGATTAGGAAGATGATTCAGTGGCAGGTTCTGTGGGATACAGTGATGCCAACCTGCAACTTTCAACTCATGATGCCAACCACACCCCCTCCTCTGGGAAGAGGGTACTTGCTCCCCTGCTTGGGTGTGGGCACAATTTACTCCCAAAGCACAAAATCCAGCCTTTTATAGTGATGTGAAATCTGTAAGGATTCCAGCCTTGCATTTCTGAAGAGACTGGAACAACAAACAAGTTCCCAGGACAGACGTTTCTGGATGACTGACTGTTTGAATGGAGAAAGGGTGCATTGTTCAGGAGTGCAATCCTTCCATTCCTGGGCTGGAATACCAATGTGACTTCTGGGCAGAGTCAAGCAGGGCGATGGCAAATGAAGGTCAGGGAGGAGACAGGCTGAGCCTGAGCTGGTGCACACTGACCCCCAGTGGAACCCACTGCACTGGGAGTAAGAATCCACACAGGGGCTGGAAAGGGAGCAAGTTGGAGCCAGAAAGACATGAGACTGCTTACTCTAAGGAAGTGTAGGGAGGGCAAAGACTATTAGCAATGTCACCTAAACCACAGAGACAAGCCTCTGCTTTCCAGTCTCAGTAATACTAGGGGATTTGTCTTAAAGGAATTTTTAAACTTTTCCTCCTGTGGAAGTTTTCCAAGAATCATTATGTATTACAAGCAGAGGTGGATTACAGCATGCCTACATGTGCACAGGGTAGCGTGGTCCTAGCAATGCTGTTTGGATAAAGACTCCTCACAGAACAGCAAAAACTCAGAAACCTGTTCAACCAGAATGAGCAAGTGCAACCAGACAGAAATAATGGATATACAACCATCTGCCCAGCTGGGAGTCCCTGTTTGTCAGGTGAGCTGCGGTAACCGACTGAACTCCCGTATATTGCAACACAAAACCAAACACACTAACTTATGTTACAACTGAACACGGCTTTAGGTAAGTTCACAAAAGATATGGGGAGCAGGTCTCAGCAGTTGTGGAGAGCCTGTGGAGGTCCAGCTGAATG